GGGGGCGGGGATCCAGGTGCTGATGGACCCCCTCCCCACTTCCTGTCAGTAAAGCCCTGGAAGCCGAGATGGGCCCCCAGCGCAGAGTGCCGCACCCCCGATCCCGCTCCGGGTCCCGACCGCGACCCAGCCCCCGCTCACGTTCTCGCCCAAGAACTTCGGGGGGCTGCCGGCGGCCGGCGCGGCGCGCTCGAGGGTGAGTCGGCCCCTAGCAGGATGAGGACCCGAGGCCGGGAGGGCACACAATGTGGCGGCCCTGCTGGGACCCGTATAGAGGTGTCCACGCTGGAGGAGATGCCCAGTCGACAGCCATCAACGCTCAGCTTTGGACCCAGGAGCCACTCTGAACGGAATCTACAGAAAGGAGACTCGACTCTCTCTCCCCAACCAACTAATGCTTTTTTTTACAGATGGGGAAACTAAGGCCCATTCGATGACCCAATGAGATAGTGCTGATTTGAGACTTCAGTCCCTTCTGATGACAGTGTTGCTTCATCCCACAGGCATGAAGAGTTAGGGTCCAGCCCTGGCTCAGGAGTGACCTGGAAGGGTCACTTCTCCTCTCTGGGCCTCAGTTTACCTTGTCTGTGTATCGAGTGATTAGAATCATGTTTGGCGAGCCAGCCTATCCTTGACAACACAGACCGACCAAGATGGCACAATGGGAAAACTACAGACCCCTCTAGCTATGAGGAGGGTACAGAAGTCCCAAATGGAATTTTAGCAAAAGAGAATTAAGCACCACATTTTTAAAATACATCACAACGAAGGGGCCTTATACCTGAGATGCAGGGATGGCTCAGTATTCAGAAGTCTGCTAATAAGATTTACCATGGTGATGGATCAAACGAGAAAAGTTCTGAAAAGGCCTCAAAATGAGGGCGAACGTGAGGATGACCACTGTGGAGTATTTAATATTGTTCTGGAGGTACTAGCCAACGCACTTAGAGAAGAAAAAGAAAGAAGGGGTATGGATAGTAGGAGAGTGGTGGGGAAACTATAGTTTGGATCGTGGGTAAGCCCTGTTTACATAGGTCAAAAATAATAGAAATACCAACAATTCCATATGGCTCAATTTCACATTAATTTCATCTTTTACCTTATATTCGACATACCTTCAGACTTACAGAAAAACTGGAGGATTAGTACAAAGAATTCCTGGATATTCTTTATCCAGATTCCACAAACATTAGTTACCACCTTTGCTTTATTCTTCTTCCTCTCTCTGAACCTCTTCTGAAAAACACACAGAAACGATGTCTCATTACCCATAACAGTTGAGTATGCATTTCCTAAAAACAAGGACATTCTCCCACATAATCACAGTACAATGATGAACATCAGGAAGTGGACATTGATAAAACACCATTATCTAATCTACAGACTTTAATCAGACTTTGCCAACTGTTCTCATAATGTCCTTTATAACAAAAGAATATCCTGGCTCACACATTGTATTTGTCAGGTCTTCTAGTTCTTTTAATCTGGAACATTTCTCAGTATGTCTTTGCCTTTTATGACGTTGGCGTTTTTTTAAAGGCCCAAGGCAGTCATTTTCTGGTGTCCTAATTTGGGTTTCTGTGATGTTTCTGTAAGATTAGTTTCAGGTTGCTGGGGCGCCTGGGTGGCGCAGTCGGTTAAGCGTCCGACTTCAGCCAGGTCACGATCTCGCGGTCCGTGAGTTCGAGCCCCACGTCAGGCTCTGGGCTGATGGCTCGGAGCCTGGAGCCTGTTTCCGATTCTGTGTCTCCCTCTCTCTCTGCCCCTCCCCTGTTCATGCTCTGTCTCTCTCTGTCCCCAAAATAAATAAAAACGTTGAAAAAAAAATTAAAAAAAAAAAAAGATTAGTTTCAGGTTGGCATTTTGGGCAGGAGAGCCTTGGAAGCAATTTAACATAATTTTACCTGCTGGTAGTATGGTTTTATATAGAGAAAACCCAAGAGAACTAACTGAAACTTTCTTAGGTCTATTTCATATAGTTACTTATCTCCAGGAATAAACTAATTTCCTTCTTATGTAAAGAGCTCTTATCAATTAATTTTTCAAAAAACAGCTCGATAGAAAAATGGACAAAGAATATAGACAGTCGTTTCATAGAAATATGCAAAAAAAAAAAAAAAAAA